CAGAGAAAGCACTGACCTTGTTTGAACACAGCACAGTCTTCTGTGGATCAAGTTTGGTTTTGTGAGCAGGGCTTGGCTGTCAGAGCTGGGCTTATGTTTTGGGATTTTCCCTATCCCAGATCACTCTAACCCTGTATCATGATTGTGGGTACATGAGCAGGGCATGAACCTGAATGCTGGTAGATTTTAGGAGCAGTATGGAAGTTGTATATCTCAGATGGAAAGATTTAAGACCTGAACCTGCCTTCTTGAAAAGCCAAGACGTTTCGCAGTGCAGCGCAGAAGCAAGTTTCAGTCCTGGCTTCCATGAGAGTTATGTCCAGGTTGTACTTCAGACTCTTCTGAAGTAGCTGTGAGTTCCTGGTGGCCTCACTGTGTTGTGTGTCAGTCTCATTTTTTACAGACAGTACCAGCAGCACATCCCCATCCCCGGGATGGAGCAGCAACGCGGAGGTGTGTGTTTCAAGGGCTGTTACAGCACAACAGCTCAGGAGCACGTCTGAGGGTGCACGGTGGTTCTGCTGGAGAGGGTCAAGAGCTTGGCCATCATCAGGGCCAGGAACATGTTTAGCTTAAAACAGCCTTTCACCTCTTTGCAAGAAATGTCTATTGACTGTAATTCCAAAAGATCTTAGTACACAGTTCAGGGAGACTGAAGGAAAAACACTGTGCAGCTCGTTAGAAATCCCAGTTGTCCCCAGTCAGTCTTGTCTTGTTCTGACAGCAAATGTTTGTGAGTGATTCCACCACTCACCCTCTAAATTTTCAAGCATTCCAGCAGTGCTGCAGGGTCTGGGAGCATGACTGAAATGTGGAGGAACTGAGAGACCTGGTAGCAGGTCCAGGGGTGAAGGATGCAGAGCTGGCTGGGAGTGTCACCTCCCAGGCTGCTGCTGTCGCTGCTGAGGGTCGCTCTCTGCTCCTGTCAAAAGTGTAAATCACATGGGTGACACCTGAGGCTTTGGCACCCACAACCCATCCCATGTTGCTGCTCAGCCTCTGTGGGAAAAGAATTCCAGAAGTGATCTCTTGGAAAGTGGAAGCAAAAAAGAGCTAACAAAACCCCCCCGAGCAGTGTGGAAGGGATAACCAAGTGGGATTCGTGTGCCCCTCGGCGGGGACCTGCCTTTTGTGAAGGTCTGGCTGTGTTGGCAGTGGGAGTTCTTGAGATGTCTGACTTAGGTAAAATGAAGCTGTTCCCTTTGGGGGTGTGAAGAACAGGCACAATTCTTTAGGGCTTTAATAAGCCTGAAGGGCTCCTTTGTGTTAAGAGACTCCAGAGGCCTATGTTTCAGACGGGACTGAAAACCCCACGATAAGGCTCTGGCTTTCTAAGGTGCTTTTGTTCAGCTGGGACTGCAGCATCAAGGGCAGTGAAAATGATGCCTTTCAGACTGGGCAGCAGGAGAGCAGAGGGAGAGATGCTGCCCTGGTGTGTAGATGCTGCTGAGAAGTTTGTTTCAGTTGCCAAAAAAGAGGAGTTATTGCCTGCAGTGATGCTTTGGCTTCTTCCTGTCAGGTCCAAAATATGTTGTTGCCTTGCAGCCAACAGAGTCCAACGTGAAATAATGAATTCCCTGGGCTCCCCAAGGAGAGTGGCTGTAGTTGGTTGCTTCTCACAGCTGGTTTCTGCTGTGCCAGGAGAGGTGGCAGGTTCTTCTGTCCATGAGACACTCATGCTCAGGGCACAGAGCAGGCCAGAAGTTCAGTCTCTCGTGGCTGTGGCTCCCACCTGAGGTTTTGCAGCCCACTCCATTTCTAGATGCCTGATCTGTATATTGTGACTTCTGTGTTTTGCTATAATAAAAATAATCCAAACAGAGGGAAGGTTTTTGCACTATGAGCAGAAAGCTGGGCATGGCAGCAGATAGAAAATGAAACCAATGCCTGTTTTCACAAGGTAAAGATCAGGAGAATTGCTGTTGAGGCAATGGTTCCACTGCCAGTACCCCAAAACTATACAAAAAGTAGTGATACCCAAGTCAGTGCCACAGCAGATGGTGAAGGACACAGCAGTGTTTGCAGAGCAGCAGTGCACAGGTGGCAGTTCTGCCTGCAGGACAGAGGAAACACTTTGTGGGGGCCAGGGTAAATGTTTTCCACCTTTCAGCCTTTTTCTTGGGTAGGTTTTCCAGTCCAGCAGGTGCTGTTTCCAAGGAGCACTGCTGAGATATCTCTTTTGTATCCTTGAGGACAGATGGACACATCAGATGGCAGTTTTCCATCACCCACCTGTCTTTGACATGATCTGAAGCTGAAAACACCACCTTTCAGCCACGTTGCCCTGTAGCCACCTGGGCACAGAGATCTTTCCACTTCTAAGCCATGAGGTTTCCCTCTTCCCCATGTGCTGGAGGACACTCCAGCTGCATCACTTCCTAGTCTCCTTGCTGGGTCCTGTAGGGTTAGGACAGGATGGGTGAGGACACTGTCAGGGTTGTGTGTACCAAGGAAGTGGCCTGGGGGTGGTTGGGATGGGACTTCTTTACTTTCCCATTCCAACAGCTGTTTTTCTTCTCTCCTAGGGTCCAGAAGGGAAACCAGGAAAACAGGGGCAAAAGGGCAAACCTGGCCAGAAGGTAGGAACACCTTCTGTTGGTAATATCATCCCTTTTCTTGGATCATCTTTGATATTTATCTGTAGCAGCAGTTTTACCTGGATTAATGTCAATGCTCTTGTTCTACAGGGCAGCAAGGGCTTCCAGGGGCAGCTGGGTGAGATGGGATCTCCAGGGAAGGAGGGGCCAAAGGGGAACCAAGGCCCTAAAGGATCCCGAGGTACCCTGGGACCTATGGTGAGAAGAGCTCTGCAAATGGTCTAACACAACACACAGAAGCATGACTAGCAGGGGTGGCCAGGGGCCTGAAGGAAACACAGAGACTGAAATTGTGTTAGATGAGTTTAATTGGCCAAAACAGCTTCACCCTTGCTCTGAGCAGCACAGGAGAGACTCCACAGTGGTGGTTGAGTTGGTGCCCCATGAACCCAGTTCACATTGCATCATGGTGGCTCTTCACAGCTCCTCAGATGGGCAGAAATGTTGGGGATGTTTCTTGAGAAGGGAGTGAGCTGATAAGCTATTTTTTTGCTAAGATCTTTCCCTTTGAGACTGCAATCATGGCAAGAGCTGCTTCCAAGTCAAACTGTGTTGTTATAAGGAACTCTGCTTTGGACTTCTTCCCTGTTTCTACACCCACTCTTGATCTACTTACCTAAAACACTTGAAGAAAGAAGAAATATTGCCTGGGCAAGGGTTTGAGTTGGGGACCCAAGGTGAGGCTTTCAGAGAGAACAGCAATACTGAGGTGGAGAGGGAAGAAAGTGGATTTGATTTAGGAACATGAGACAAATGCTTTGGGACAGCAGTGGGAATTACACGTATCTCCTCATGCATTGCAGGCTGGTAAGGAAACTTCTTTCACTATAAGTGGTAGAACTTAGTGAAAAAGCAGAAGTTCTTCCTGAACCGGAAACCGCCGCGATGGTTCCGCACAGCAGTGACTGAGGGATGGAGTAAAGGTTCTGCTGATAGCGTTTTCCTGCCCTAAAAATTGTGGCTCCCCATATATCCTCCCTTCATATCCTTTGGCAAAGCCTCCGTGGATTATTTCACAAGCAACAAAGCAATATCTGAGCAGCACTGGGATGATCTCCTCTCTGCCTGGTGCAGAGGGTTTCCCTCCACGCTAAATGGGATTATATGGAAAGTTTGCAATTCACTTTAATCTGATTTAAGCCCTTTTGTTCAGTCTGCTAAAGATGCAATAACCAGCTCTTGCAGTGCCCTCCTCACGACCCAGAAAACTCCTTTCTTGGCCTCAGAACCCATGCCAAAATGTTTGCTCCCTACAGCTTAGGATTAGGTCATGCATGAGAATGGTCTCACTGGTGGACTTCCTAGCACAGAGCTAATTTGGGTATAAAGACATCCAGAAGGGCAGAGGAAGAGCACACACTAGGCAGCCAATTCTGGTAGCAAAGCTGAATGAGGTGGGGATCCTATTGCTAAAGGTTGGTAAAGACACAGTGTGGCCTCCAGGCACCCACATGTAAGAGGTTAAGGCAGGCAGGAGAGCTCAGGTGGCTGCAGCAAAGCAGCAGCAGAGCTGTGGCCACGGCCCCATGTGCTGCCCAGCTTTGCTTTCCACAGCCCTGTGCACCCTCTTCTTGTGGGGCAGCACCCACGGGCTGCTCTCATGGTGCTTTCTGTGCTTGCCTCTCCAGGGTGCTCCAGGAAGGATGGGTGCTCAAGGGGAACCTGGCCTAAAGGGCTACCAGGTAAGGATTTTATTTTCATCCTTCAGCTTCTGTCTGTTCTCAAATGCAACAAAACTGCTACTCCAGGATGTAAAATCTCTGATTTATTTCTAACCTTCAGTTCAGTTTAATTCTTCCTCTAGTCTCTATTTGCACCATCACTACTTCTCCAGATACGTTTGGTTCATCTCTGCCAGGACCCATGTGTCCCTCTGAAGCTGGGGTGGGACAAGGGGCTTGTGAGATCCAGCAGGAGAACAGGAGGACCTTCAGTGAAACAGCTCTCTCCTGTCTCCTCATATGCTGTCTGCTTTCCACAGGGCCATGCAGGACCACCAGGGCCAATTGGACCACCAGGGCCAAAGGGGGAAAAGGTAAGTTCACTGAGTTTATCCATCTCAACTTCCACTGGGGTGGGAGCTGAGCTGGTGTAGGGACAGTGGTCCCCCTGCCACAGCACCCAGGCAGCTGCCCTCTCCACCTGTACCTGCAGTACGGGCACAGGTGCCTCCTCCACAGCACGGCCACCTCCCTGACTCCTACTCCAGCTTTTCTTCTGCCAACCAGCTCTGGGACACCCGTGCCACTGGCACCTGCTGCCCAGACACCTCGTGCCCTTGTGCCGGTGACTGAGCCTGTGTTCTGGGGACACGTTTTTCCTGCACCCACAGAAACTCTGCACAATCCCCAAGCCAAAAGAAATGAGACCAGTAGCTTTCTGTGACCGAGCCAGGATAGCCCCCTGCACAAACTAGCTGCTCTTCAGCAAGGAGCTCCAGCTGGGCTTCACTCAGCTGCTGGCAAGCGAGGCAGAACTGGTCTCCTCTCCATCACCCTTGCTCCATTTTCCTCCTTGCCTGCCACCCCCTTCCCTTGCTCATCCCCCCCACTCCTCCACCAGCCCCTTGTGCAGCTGCTGGAGTCAGAGTCCTCTTTCCACAGCGTTTTTCCCCTTGTGCTGAGTCAGCAGGGCCATAACCAGCTCAGGCTGGAGAATGACTCACGCTGTAGTGGTTTCCTGTCAGCAGAGCCGTCTGCTCCCTGCTCCAAGGACAGGATGGCCCAGCTGGCCTTGCCTGGGCTCACAGAGCCCCTGCAGCCCTTCACGTGCCTTCAGCAGTGATGCTCCCACCCCTGGAGTGGGAAGGGAAGTGATGATGACTGGGACTGGTCAGGAGTGGGGTCCCCATCCAGAGGAATGGTGCACGAATGTGTGTCACTCATTTTCCGCTCCCCATTGTGTTCAGCTTCCCCTCTGCACACAGGGGCAATGCAGCTGCACATCTGCAAGCAGGAGCTTTGTTGCTTCTAAAAGGTGTTTGTGGGATAGAGATGCCAAGGGCTTGTCTGTTCTGACTGTGTCCTTGCAGCTCAGGTGTCAGGGCACCCTGTTCATGCTGCTCTCTGTGCTCTGCCCAGAGACTCCTTCTCCAGCAGGGGGTCTGTGCTGGTGGGCAGGAGTTGGGGCAGGGTGAGCTGTTGTGTTCTGCTAAGATGTTCACACGCCTCAGAAATTTTGCTTTGGGGATGAACAATGTTCATGCTGCTTTTTCTCACATCTCCTGCTGCTAAAACACATCTGTGGAGGAACAGCCAGTGATGTCCCTGCTGCTCCACATCCCCATCCCTGCCTTGCTGAATTTCCTCTCCACTCCAGCCTTTCTGACCATTCCCCATCCTCTTTCCAAGCTGCCCCTCTTGCTTTTCCAGACTTCAGCAACATTCCTCCTCAGGTGTATTCTGAGTGGCCATGTGGCAGGTGACAACCAAACACAACCAGCCCAGGATTATTAGTGAGAGCCTGGCCAGAGGTTTGTCCCAGTCCCACGGCTGAAACTTGAGCATTCTGGCAAAAAGTTGTAAGCTGTGACCACCAAAAGATCAGCCATTGGCCTTCCAGCAGGAGTAAGGGATGTGCAGATATGTATCTCAGTTGCTTAAACTGCAGCTGTTGTTTTATTTTAAAACATTGGAAGTTGCCATCTTCTTGAAAGCTCCCATTGTTTCAGTACCAAATGGTCCCCATTATTAATCTGAAGTGCTCAGGGAAGCACCCTCCCCTTCATCAACAAAACACTCTGCAAATGGACACTAGAAGAAGGTCCCCTCGGAGATAACAGGGATCTAGTGACATCAGATCACAGCAAAGCTGATGATAAAATGAATTCTACATGCAACTATAGAAGCTGCAGCCTGGCGAAGACACCAAAGTATCTGATTCATCCTGCTGAGAAGAGTCAGGTCTGTTAATGACCATCAGCAGCCAGACCTCACTCACCTCTTGTCTGGAGGGTGAGCAGGTGTGCTGGCCCCTTGCAGGGGAGCAGCTCCAGCTGAACCAGGGGAGCACAGCAGCACGTGCTGAGCCTCCAGAACCTGTTCCTGCAGCATCCAGGTGCTCCACAAAAGTCTTGCATCTCAGTTTTCATATCCATCCATCCTTATCTCCTGAGAGACGCCTGGATCCCAGCCTAAGGATAGACAGATTCCTTCCCCCTGGACATCTGCAGCCTCCCTCACACACGCAAACAGGAAAATAGAAGCCTGAACTGGAGAAAGGAGAAGGAAACTGACATGGGACTGGGACCCCTCTGGGAGCTTCGTACGATGTGGAGAACTAGGCTGTGCTGAAGAGGGAGGATCTATAATGGTGGGGAAGGTCTTCCCTTTTCCAGAGCAGAAAGCAGTTTGGTGAGAGGCATTTTTGTGGAATCCAGCTGCCTTGTGCCACACCAGCCAGCAGCTCTGCTGCGTTTCATACTTCTAGAGCTCCTCAAAGAGGCCTTGCTCAGAGCAGACGCCTGCACTTGGCAGCTGCTTAAAGCAGTCCAGATGGGATCCTTTTAAAAATTACAAACTGGTGTATCTCACTTTGGGACAGCAGCCAATAACAACAAGCCTTCCCTTCTTCTCCATGCATTTTCCATTTGTATCCCAACATGTTTACTTTGCTGCCCTTTACTCTAACTTTTTTTCGCTGCAACTTTCCGAGGAGCGAGCACAGACCTTTCATCTCCCTCTTGAGCAGCTGAGGCATCAGGAAGTCCTGGAGCAGTTTGGTCTTGCAGCCCTAGAGCTGACCAGGCTGCAGGATATTTTCTACTCAGAAGACAAAGGACAAGGTGGGAATCAAGGGGGCACAAAGCCACAACTCAGCTTTGGGGAGGAAGTCTGTGGGTCTTGATGCTCTTCAAGAGTCCCCAGAAATAGGAGCTTTCTTTGAGCTCAGCTCAGCTCCCAGATGGCAAGGTGTTCACATCCTGTTTGGGAAGAAGCAACCAGTGCCAAGACTCTGCACAGGAACACGTACACTGGGATTCTTTTTTTTTTTTCCTGAGACTTGAGAAATGGTGGGTTTGTTTCCCTTCTAGCCTACATTCCTTTGATAGTGGCTAGAAAGCAAACCAGTTGCCAGGTGTTCTGCTGCTGACTTCAAGCAGCAAGTTCAGTAGCACTGGAAACTGTTGGCAGAGGCTGCTCAGCATGACTTCCCTTCCTCTCTACTCTGCCACCCAAATTTCTCCATCCATATTGCTCAGTACCATATATTCTCAAGCCAGCCTGGCACAATTTCTCCCTATATTTCTTCTACCATGATTCCTCCCCAGAACCTCAGACAAATATTCCAGAGCTCCCCACCCAGCACACAATCTTTCAAGGCAGTATAACCATCACCTGTGTGTATGTATGAAATCCTGGCAAGATTCATCATCATGGCAGCAGCAGGGAAAGAAAATGTCACCAAGCTTGTCATGGAGAGAGACACACTGAGCTCTTTGCTACCTGTTGAGGGTCACTGCAAGGATTTTGCCAAATCTTGGGCCTCATTCTGCCAAGCTGAACATGTTGATGCTGGTGCTCAGTCCATGAGAAGTCAGTGTGGGTCAGTGTTCTCTCTCAGCAGTGGCACAGTCCTGGTTCCAAGCCATGACAACCCAGTTCCTACAGAAAATAAGTTACTGGCTCTACTCCCTGAGTGTTTTCCCCCAAGGGTTACCCACTGCTCCAGGTGTGTCTTGACCAAACATCAGGTACAAGCAACACACCCCAGATGCCTTCTCCCAGGATCACTGAGAACTTGCCCTCACTATCAGCAGCTGCAACTCAGAAGATGAGAGTAGCCCAGAGAGAAAGTTAAAGATAGTCATCAATGTACCTGAAAGGGCTGATGGAACCAGTGAGAGTTATACAAGCCTGTGGAAAACTTGTCTCTGCCTAACTGTGGTGAATTGGATGTTGGCTCTAGGAGCACCCCAAGCCCTCCAAACACAGCAACTCCACTTTGCCAGGACCCCCAGACCTCCTCTCTGCAGTAGCTGCAACATCAAAGGAGCTCTGAGACATGTTCATCCTGAGGAGCCAGAGAGTCAGTGACACGAAGCAGCCAAAAAAACTGGAGGAGCTGGAATGTAACTTGTCTTCCATGGGGAGCAAAGCAAGAGCCATCTCCAAGAGAAAAGACACCACCATGACCCTGAGTAACACAACAGAGTCTAAAAAACTGGTGTCTGTGTCAAGTCTTGAGGGATCTCTCTGTGGATGTTTCAGAGAGACCTCAGCTATAAATACTCTGGGTGATGTTATCTACCAGTCAGACCATGAGCTCTGAGCTCTTGTTCTGGAGCATCTCATCAGGAGAGAAGCTGCTCACACAGACTTGCTTTGGATTAAAAGTTAGTGAATTCAAGAGGGGCTTTGACTTATTAGCCTAGGATATGAAAGGACTGGATGGGGTCAGTACAGAAGCATCTGCCATATAATCTGTTGTCTATATTATAAATACTAATATATTATCTGTTCTAGTTGGAGGTGTTCCTGCTTATTGTAGGGGGATTGGACTAGATGACCTTTCTAGGTCCCTTCCAACTCCATACATTACATAACTCTGTGTTTCTACAATTCTATATTAATACCAGCATTTTTATTCACAGGGAGAACAAGGTGATGATGGGAAGGTGGAAGGCCCACAGGGACCACCTGGAGACAGAGTAAGATGTTAAATCCCTCCTCTAGTCAATCCTGGCCTGATTTTTGCAGGTGGATGGGTTGGGTTGCTGCCTTACTTGTAGAGCAGTCACAAACCATGGAGAAATTGCAGGTGACAGATTGTTTACTTCCACCTGAAGTCTTTGTTGTGTTGTTGTAGGGCCCTGTTGGTGACAGAGGTGATCGAGGGGAGCCTGGAGACCCTGGGTATCCTGTGAGTCTTGTTCCAAACACATGATTTAAAAATGTCTGTCTTGGGGAAGTGCTTCCAATCTGCATCAGCCCACAAAAGGTTTGCCCTTTGCCCTGTAGTCATGACTGAGAACCCACTGTTGTTCTTTGCCAACTGCAGCACGTGGCTGTGTCTCAAAGGAGGAATAGTTTGGGTGTCTTTGCCTGAAGTGGTGGGAATTGTGCTGAAGGCAAATGTAGGTCCTGCAGGGCAGCATCTCACAGGCACCTGAGCACACTAGACTGAAAAAAACAAGCAGGACCATCTCATCAGAAGTATTTGTGATTATCAAGGAAATACCCTGGGGAAGGTCTGTACAAGAGAGGTCCTGTCAGTGCTGGACAAAATTCAGGACTGATATGCCCATGGCTCTTGACTCTTTCAAGGGAAGTTCTGTTATCTTGGAGGTTTGGAAGCTTCCAGAACCTTATTGGGATTTGTCTCAAAAGCAAGACAAGGGGTATGAACTGTTCTCCTGTGCTCCTGATGCCCTCTTTGCAGGACATCCCCAGCTGATTGCTGCTGATCAGCACAGGCTCTGTGGACTGTCTTACCTCTCCCCAAAAGCAGCAGGGCAGGGCAGCCCATTGCAATCATGTACAGCAGAGTGGTGGTCGTGCTGCTGCTTCCCTGTGCAGGACAGCAGCCTCCAGCTGCCACTGCCACCAGTGCTGGGGAGATGCATTAGGAAGCCTCCTTTGCTGCCTAGATGGTGATTAGAAGTTCCCCTTGGCTGTTTCTTTCCAATCCATGTCCATGGGAGCACGTGCACTGCCCACAAGCTGCAACATCTCTGTCTTAGCAGAATGCAGAGAAGTGTCTCCTCTCCTGCCCCCTTCATTGTTGCATCCACTTGTGCTTCCCACTGTCACAAAGGCACTGGAGAATAAACACGTGTTCCCTCTTGCTTTTGATTTTAGGGTCAAGAAGGGCTTGATGGAGAAAGAGGAAAACCTGGACAACAAGGCTTACCTGTAAGAGATGCTGCTTTATTGTAAGCTACCCAGTGTCACCTGCCTGTGGGAGAAGGCAGGGAGGGAGGGAGGAAGGTGGGCTGAGCTGTGAAGTGCAACCTGTGCATTTCCAGAAGCCAGGCCTGTGGATGGGCACTGGGAGTCACACGTTGAGACTCATCAATGAGTGACAGAACAGGGGGCACTCCCAGAAGGCCCTGGTTCCCTAATCTCTCATATCCAGGTGAAATGAAGGAAAGAGCTGCAGGCTGCAAAAAGGAGGTCCCACCAACACTTACAGATGGAGTCACTGTATGAACTGCCTGTTCAGCACGTGGCTTCTGCAGTCCATGGCTCAAAACCTCCTGCTCACTTCCCAGCAGCATTTTCCAGGTGCCATCTGGAATTTAGTGAATTATTTCCACAAACACAAACACCACCCAAGTGAGGGGGTAGCATTGCTTCTTCTCCTGTTGACACCCTGTTAAATGCTCTCCAGAGACTGTTCCTTGCTCCTTTTTCCCCAGGAGGCCTGTCTGAGCCCTGGCTGCTCCCCTGAATTGTTTCCCTCTGGTCAGAGTTGTTAGGGCACCAAAAAATGCTGTTCTTTGTACTTCACACAAGATACTGCCAGAAGAGAATTTCAAGCAGATTTTTCTTGCTTATATTTTGCAGGGGCATCCTGGACCACCAGGCCAGCCAGGAGCAAAGGGTTCCAAAGGTGATGTGGTAGGTTTCAGCAGGGTGGATTTCTAGTGTCCCAAGATTAAAGAAAACGTCTAATTGAGAAGAGCCCCATGTTTTTGCCCAGCATGTGTGATTTGGCCCGTGGTCTGTGCCTTGAGGAACTGTGGAGAACCTAGTGGGAGGGCTGTAAACATGTATTGGAGTGTCCAAACCCAACAGTGGGTTGGCTTTGTGGAGCTGAAGAAGATCAAGGCAATTACAGCTCCAGCATGATGGGTGAATCTTGGGCAGGTCTTTAGTCATTGCCAGGGGTTGTGTCTCTTCCCCATACCCCTGTTTGTGGTGCCTCCAGCCACAGCTGGCTCGTCTGTCCCTGAGGAGCTCTGGGCCAGGCAAATGTTTCTCTCTTCCACTGGAATTGTAAACTTTTCTGGCTTGAAACCTTCCAGATTTGGAGTCCATTTATCCATGCAGTTCTTAAGTTCCTTGGAAGAGTCCCTCTAATTTCTTCCACTTAGTGAGCAAGAAACACAGCACACTTGGGTCCTTCAAGGTTCACTGGGGTACCTCATGCCTACTCCTATCTCCACATCTGGCTGTAATGAGCTTGCTAATTGTTCTCACAGATCCAAGACTTTACTTGCTAAAACATAAGTATGTGACCTCAATACTCAGCAAATTCCTGCTCCCTTTTGGCAGATGTCAGGATTTTTAATCTGACCCTGCTGGGGTAATGCCAGAAGATAGTTTAACCTACAGTAGGTGTTCTTGGCAAAAGGCACACCAGTCAATAAGATAAACAAACTCTGCCCATGGATGGGTGATCTGGAACTGCCTTGAGGTCTAATGAATAGCAGAAAAAGCAGCCCCAGGAGTATTTCTTTCATGTAGCTGGCCTGCCTGGTCCTCTGCAGATGGAGAAACAATGCAGAGAAAACTCAGCCCTTCAATTTGAAAGTGCTTTAGTACATGACTTCACTGAGAGAGCCCTGGTGAAGGTGATGAGGCTGAGTTTTCCATTCGTTTTGCAGGAATTAATCCTTTCTACAGCTAATAAACCTCAGGAGTATTTCTTTTACCTCTTTATTCACAAAGCAGCTTTGCAAACTGTAGACACAAGATACCCTTTTCATTTCCATTAACTTTCCAAAGCTGAGGGAACTACCTCACAGGGCAAAGCCCTTCCTGAACACTCGGGGTCCTTGGTTCAGCACCATCCTGAGCTGACAGAGGACACAGGTTTTAAGCAACTTGTTCTATTGTTTGCCAGGGCACTGAGTCCTCCCTCGACTCCATCCTGCTTTATTTGTCCTCATCTGCTCTTTATTAGGAAAAATGTAGGTCCTTGCCTTCTAGCTATTCATTCCTGCCCTAGAACTCTGAAGTCCTACAAAGAATCACTTGTAATAAAACCAAACAGCAGCTCGTTTGCCAGTGTTGGAGCCACTGACTTTATAAACCTCCTTTTTAGAAAGCTCTTTCCAACCATTATCCAAAAGCACACCGTGAAGTCAGGCTCCCAAGTGGAGCTGTGCTAGAACTGCTGCAATTTTAGATGTTTGTCTTTTTTTCCCTCACAGGGTCAAAAAGGGAAGCAAGGAGCCCGGGGCGGCGCGGGGAGCCGGGGCTCACCGGTAGGTAGAAATTCAGTTCTTTGTCCCAGAAAATGCTGTCCAGGAGCTCCCTCACTAACACCTTTGTGATTTTAGGGCATCCTTGGGCTACCAGGTCCTCGAGGAGTGGTGGGAAGGCAGGGTCAAGAGGGTGCCCCTGGAGTGGATGGAGTGCCTGGCAAGGATGGCGTGCCTGGGGTGCTGGTGAGTTTGCAGCTGTAACCTCATCAACAGCCAACACAGCTTAGGAGCTGGAAAACTAAAAGGTAGCACAGAAGAAATAGATGTAGTCCAGCTATTGATAGTCCAGTTTCCATGTACCCAGAGCGGATTGTACCCACCTCTCCATATCTCACCCGCACAGAGAGGCAGCAGCTGCCTTTGCAAGGGCAGGGCTGTTAATTAAGGAGGGTTTCTAGCCTGGCAGGTGCTCTGCATGCACAGATGCTGTGGACAGCTCTGCAAGTCCAGCCCTGCCCAAACACATGGTGCTTGTTGAGGACAAAGTCACACCACTCCCCTGTCCTCCCAGAAGCTGTGCAGAGGTGGAAAGAACATCTTGTTTCATAACCTCTTCCTGGTTTCTTCTCTAGGGAGAGCAGGGTGATGATGGGGAAGAAGGTGTGACAGGGATGTCAGGCAAAAGGGGGAACCCTGGCATACCTGGACTCCCTGGGGCACAAGGACCACCAGGATTCAAGGTGAGTTTCTGACTCCCTAAGATACTGCTACAAGCAATCCAGTCTGTGAGCCTGGTGTCTTTAGAGCTTGGATTCTCCAAGGTCTAATGAAGTCCCAACTGCCACCACTGTCTTTCACTTAGCTAGAGGCTCAGTAGATCCTTCTCCTCATCTATCCATCCATCCATCCATCCATCCATCCATCCATCCATCCATCCATCCATCTATCCATCCATCCATCCATCCATCCTCATGACATTCACAGCAGCTGAATGTCCCAGACACCTTTCCTTCTTTGTCAAAGTTCACTGAGCTCAGGAGCCTACAGATGCACATACCCACCCTATGAACACTTCAGCCTTCCTTCATTACAAACCTGGCTAAAAATAACATGACAGAAGTTGCAAAGGAACTGCTACAGCCTGCCTGTAGGATGCCCAGGATTGATGACTCCATGGGAAATTGGGTGTCCTCTAGCTCTTACCCTGAAAGGTTTGAACTGCTGAAGGGCAATTTGTGCCTTTTCTTGGAAAAGTTGGAACCAGTATGGGTTTGGACATCACTCTGGGTGGAAGCAGGGATGAAGTGCTTTAGTGACCCTGGGGCTTCCTCGTGGACCTTGTCCTGGTCCAGGTTGGCCACAGGATCTAAACTGAGCAATTCAGCTGTTTGTAGAAAGGGAAAAGGAAGACTCCAGCTGGATTTGTGGAGGCTATCAGGTCTGATTTAAATTATGCCTCCCATAACACTTCACTCTTCAACTGTCACTTGCTGCCCTCCAGCTGCCCTGGGTAGAATAACATCCTGTTCCCAGAAGTGACTGGAAGACCCTTGTGTCGTATGACAGACTCATATCCTGGCTCCAGCTAAATTTGTTGCCCCTTTTCCAGCAGCTCAACCATCCTTTGCTCCTCTCTGAGACCATCCCAGATCGAGTGGCTGGGGCTTGTTCTGCTCCTGACACTTGGCAGGGGGGAGAGGTGGGGAGCACAGGGTGGTGCTGAGCCCCAGGAGCCCTTCTCTTGTCCTTGGGCTGTGGAGTTGGTGCTGGGGGCAACATTGGCTTTGCACCCTCAGGATTGAAGTCCTCCCTCCAGCTGAAGTCTTGGCATGACCTCAACATTTTAGATGGATTAATCATCAATTGCTGCCTGCTGGGGGGAAGAGCTGGCGAGAAGCTGCAGGGCAGGGCAGGCAGAGGACATGTCCCCCCGTGCTGTCCTTAGCCCTGGGGCAGGCAGTACTGCTCTGCTGGAGCTTCTGCCCTGTGTGAAGCCCAGGAGGGGACCCAGCCATGCCCGTGCTCTCACTCTGTGCATCCTGCAACAATCTGCCCTTGCAGACCTGAGGCATCTCCTGATGAAACCACATTCCTTATCCCAACGAGCCACTCCTCTCCAGCTTTCCATCTATGGCTGTTTTGGCTGAGTGTTGTTATATTTAGCTCCTAACCCTCGGAATTACTTGAACTCTGTTATTTTTAGGGTGAAAGAGGATTGCCTGGACAGACTGGCCAAACAGGGAAGCGAGGATCCTCAGGAGGAACGGGCCTTCCAGGGAGCCCTGGTGACCCAGGACCCAAAGGACAGCCGGTCAGTGATGAACAGAGCTCATCAGCCCTGACTCCAAGCTGTCTCCTCCAGGAGAGGGTGCAGAGCCACAGGCTGGGATAGCAGGGTGAACCCTTCAAGGGTCTTTTACAGGAGAACCCATAACCAGGTCATGTGTGAGCCCAGAAGCATCAACAGCAGCTCAGCTCTCTCCAGGCTGCTCCCTCCCATGCTCCTCACTGCTCACTCATGCACAGAGGTGTCTGATCCAGGGCTGTGTCCCCAGACAGCCTGACTGTCCATGTCACCCTGTGCCTGTGGGTCAGGCTGGGGTGTGTGCTGGCAGCCAGAGCCATCTCCCCAGCCCTCAGCAGTGTCTTGGATCAGAGTTGTTCTGAGGGCCATGCGTGGAGCCCAGGGCTGTGGGGAGCAGGAGCAGAACTGTGCACTCCAAACCATCCAAAAGCTGCCAAGGAGGGGCTGTAGCTCCACTGGGACATGCAGGAGGTGCAGGAGCAGGCATCCCCAGTGCAGTTGTGGGGACAGTGGGACTGTGAGCTCAGAGCAGTGGGAGAAACACCGAGAGCCCCATTGGAAGCAGAGGTTCAATTCCCCCACGTGTCTCCAAGGCTCCTCATCCTCAGTGCTTTGATGGTCCTGCTGGTGGGGTTGTCCACTTCAGCACTGAGGTGTCACACTCCATCAGCCTGGGGCTACACTAAGAATACTTAAACTATTTGGACTGGGACCACCATCAGAGGTTCTAGCTAGGCCACAGAAATAAAACTAAACCAGGAAAAGAGAGATTAGAACCGATACAAAACGGGACAAGATTAATCCCAACTACCCCAATTAAAACATCCTTGTTTGTCTATTTTACACCAAGCCCTGAGAAGGCAGTGCTCAAGCTGAAAGGCAGTAGCCAGCAACACAGTAAGATCATTTTGCCTCCTGTGTCCACCAGTGCCAGGTTCATTTGCCCCTAAAGGCCATTGCTGCAGGAGTAGTGATCAGGTCCCCTGAGCTGAGATGACGTGGCATTTAAACCCTTTGACTTCACATTGACTTCTCCCAAAACACCTGTAGAAAGAGGGTTTGGCTGGTTCTCCTAGTGCAGGACAGACCTTGGTCCTCCCTTAGTAGCAGTTTTCCTTTCCAGGATCCATAAATGGGCAGTGTAATCAATTTGTATCCTTGGAAAGTTTCTTAGGCTCCACCGAGTCCAACCAATCTCCTTCTTGCTAAGCAGTTTCTCACTGTCCTAGCAGGAAAAAAATTCCTAACCCTGAGATCTCTAGATTTCCTGTGGAATAACCTTGGAATTGTGGTGGTGGAAAACCCCATCACTCGGGTCATGTACAACTGGGCTGATCAAGACATTATAAAACGTCCCATCAAGTACAATCCAGCACAGGTCACCTAGTCCTGCCCAGAGTCCAAAAAAGCCTTTTCCATCTCTATTGTTACTGAGGCTGTTTATGAATCATCTGGAGTGTGGTTTTGGCCCTTTTTTTAATAAAAAAACATTGAATCATTTCACGTTTTGACATCTGAGAAGCCCAGAACTATCCAAGGACACACATCTCACACGTGATGAAATGAGGGTGTTTATGCAAGGCCGTGACACCCAGCGTGGGTTTCTTTATTCTCAGGGTGCTTGTTATGTGCTAATCCAAGCTTGATGACCTTCCAAATATGTTATTAGTATTTTTCTTCAGAAATTGAGCAAAAAAATCCCTTCAGAGTTGAACAGGGAAAGGATTCCAGGATGTGCATGCTAGTCCTGGGTTTGAGTGGGTGGTTGTGTTGCAGGAACTTTTTTGACAGCTTGGACAAGCATAGTTTGAAATCACCCTTCACTGTGTCAGTCCAGTTGGTGTTAGAAATAAAGGAAAAGGTGTTTTGCTGCATGAACTTCCAAGATCAATCTCAGAGTAGATGATCTGTGCTGACTGTGTTCTAGCTAGACAAGATTCTGCTAGACATGGGGCAGCTGAGCCTCCCATCTGGGGGCAAAAAGATCTATGAGTCTGTGGGATATCCTGGAGATGCTGACATTTATGTCATTCCTCCTTTGGATTTCTTTCCTACTTCCTTCTCCTCAGACCCACTTGGACTGAGGAATCCTCATGGATTTCTCTTTCTCTGAAGCTGCTGAACTCTGGGTGCATCTTTGGGTGACCAGCCCCTCAACATGAACTCACTGCTGTTCTTTGTTCTTTGTGTTTGCCTTGGCTGTTCCTTGCAGGGAGACTTTGGCGAGGCAGGATTCCCTGGGATTGCAGGCATGTTTGGGCCAAAGGTAAGAGGCTTTCCTGGGACCAGTTGGCTTTCTAGCCTCTCCTTACTGGGGAAAGACAGTGCAATCAGTGCTTGTTGCAGAGACACCATTAGAAGCTCTGAAGAAACTACTGAAATTGAATCATGATTCCATCTTTCTTTACACATTGTTAAATGAGTGTGCACTTACACTTTGTTGGAGTTAATTCCTGTTAAAATTAGTTGACAGCAGAGAGGAAAAGAGCTGTCCTGTAGGACCTAGGGCTGTTTTTCCCACCTGAATGTCTTTCAGACACTTGTATTTCCAGCATTAGTCAGTACCTGAGACACCAATGCACATTCCTGCTTCTGAGAGCCCTGATGTGAAATGTACTCTTTTTATCAGCATATCATTTTCCTGGGGAAGGGGGACCTGTTCATTTCAGTAGAAAGGGCTTGGAAAACAGGAGTGAGAAATGATTTGGGTTTTTTAATTTGACCTTCCTGTTCCCATGACCAAGAGGCAGCCCCTGTGTCCCTGCAGCAGGGCTGTGAGCAAGGGCATAGAAATGGAGAATGTTTGTTAAAGGGACCTGGGGTCTCCTTTTTGCTTGCAGGGTCCCCCAGGAGACTTTGGTTTCAAAGGCATTCAGGGACCACGTGGGCCACCCGGTCTCATGGTGAGTGGTTTCCCAGTTTGGTTTGGGAGGGTTTCCTTCCTTCCTCCACCCCCTATCCCTGTGAGCCCTGGTACCACCCCTGAGGCACCCAAACACATCTGTAGGTGACCAGCCAGGTCTCTTTTGCCTCGAGACAGTTGTGCTGCTGTGACCACTGCACAGACCACTCCAGCTACACTGAAATCTTTCTAATTCTGGAATTTCTGAGGTCTGACATGGCTTGTGGCAAGAGGGCCTGTGGACCCCTGTTCTGAAACAGGGTTTTATTTCAGCTACAGCAAATACCTCCATCATGTCACTGAAAAGCAGCAAAGAGAGGCAGTGTCTTTACCAAGTCTGCTGTGGTAAAAGTGAGCATCAGTTCCCATGCATATCTTTTCTTTTTCCAGGGAAAAGAAGGAATTATTGGTCCTCTTGGCATTCAGGGTCCCACGGGAAGCCCAGTAAGTAGCTGAGTTTTTTTCTGCCTGAATTTTTCAGAAGAGCAAAATGATCCTAAGTCCTGCTATAAAGAGGGAAACAAAATGGGCTTTCAAGATGAGCAGCAGGTTTTACTCTCTGGCTGCATGTGTAGTTGCAGGGGGATGATTTGCTTCAAAATGAGGAACAACTCTACCTGAGTGCAAGTTTTGCATAAAGCTGCTCCAGGTTTGGTACAGAGCCTGCTTCTGGCAGAGATGAAAACCAGGAAGATTAACTCAAACATTGCCAAAATGTAATAGGTAATATGTATTAGTAATAGTAATACCAGTAATAGGTATTTTTTTGCCTTGGGATGGGTAGGCCAATAGGGCAACCTGAGCTGGTTTGTGGGGAGATTAACTTGGGTCCTTGCAAGGAGCTTCTGGGTGGTGACACGTCCTGGCAGAGCAGCTCTCTGATGGTCACTGACAACCACCTCCTGCACCTTCACAGGGGCCCAAGGGAGACAAAGGCAGCCGTGGAGAAATGGTGAGTGCTGCTCCACACCCTGGGGCATGTCCTGCTGTAACAGGGTCCCTGTGGTCACATCCTGCTGTTAACAGGGCCCCTCTGAGCTACTGGGAGTCCCACTGGGCTCCGCTGCCCCCGCTCGGGCTCTGGCTGGATGTGGTGGCATCAGGATCCCATGGGGGCAAGACATAGAATCAGAGAATGGTTTGGGTTGGAAGGGACCTTAAAGATCACCTAGATCCAACCCCCCTGCACATGCCCATCTATACACACGTGCACACACGTGTTGCACACCCATCCGTGTGTGCACACACGTATTGCACACCCATCCATGTGTGCACACGTATTGCACACCCATCCTTGTGTGCACATACATATTGCACACCCATCCATGTGTGCACACACGTATTGCACACCCATCCGTGTGTGCACACACGTATTGCACACCCATCCATGTGTGCACACATACTCCCACTCTGCTGTTAAAATTTCCATTTCCTTCACCTGCTCACAGAGCAAGAGCTGACACTGTCCCAGGTTAGCTATGATCAGGGCATCTCTCCAGGAACAGCCCCCAGTGATGAGCAGCCCAAAAAGCCACACAGGCTGTCCCTGCCAGGGGCACAGGAGCTGTCTCAGCAGCAGGTGGCCCAGGGGTTTCCCCACAGCTGTGGCAGCAGTGCCAGGGCACCTCCTCGCCTTCTGCTCTTCCTCTGGCCCCCTCCTTTTACACCACCTCATAGCTCCTCGGTGCTCTCACCAAACAGGGGGTGTGGGACATGCTGCAGACCTGCTGTTCATCCTCCCTGTTACCCAAAACTCAGGTGCCCTGCTCTCCAGGTTGCTTCCTTCAGCAACCAGTGGTTGTTCCTGCACATGGAGGCTTAGTCCAGGCATCAGAGCCCAGCAAACTCCATCCTTCCAGTGCAGCACCCAGCCCTGGCTCAGGCACCTCAGGAACCACACAAGGCTGCACAGGGAGATTTGGGGTTATTAATCAGCATCTTCTGACAGAGTCTTCCTTTCTTTTTCTTCCTGTTTCCTCACAGGGTCTGCAAGGTCCAAGGGTGAGTATTTGAAATCTTTTTTTTACTATGTCTTCTATTTACACAAAACAGCTGCTTTTAGCTGCAGGGTGGGGAACTGTGCACACAGGGAACGGGAAAAGTCCCTGGGGATGTGGCATTAATGACAGTTATGGAGCTCAGGGCTGGGAACAAG